CCTCCTCCGCTTTTCTTCGCCCCGCTGGCTGCCCCTCCTAGCCATCGAGTGTATTGCTCCATTTATTGGTTGATATTGCTCTTAGGTTTTGTTTTGCAAACTGGAGCTGAAGCCAAGGCCTCCCAGACCAAAAAGGAAATTCTGTGTTCTTCTAACATCTTTGTATTTGTGCCAGACCTCGACCTCATGGCACAAATCCCAACTTCTGGAGGCTGAGGCAGCAAGGCTGCAAATTCAAGACGAATGAGAGAAAGAAGTAAAAAGAGGACGTTGTAATCGCTGGAGCTCACAAAATGGCTTGGTAATGGGTGTAAGAAGAGGGTGTTGGGGGTCCGTCACATCGTCCTCGGGTCACAAAATATCTTTGCTTTTACTTGGACTGACTTGGACACTCACATTTGTACCCAACTCACTTGGACAATTCTACCCCAAGGGTTCTGGGACATTTATTTGGTCAAGCTCTGGCCACTGACTTATTCTCTTTGTCTCTCCCTAAATCCAAGGTTATATAATAAGCTTGCGATCTTCTACTTTGTAGGCCTTCCCTGCAAATTATCCAGGCAGACATCTCTGTCCCCTTAAACTTTCTGTCCATCTAGGGATATAGGGTCTTTCCTTCTAAGGTCCAGCTCTCCACTTCTAGGATTACTTATCTGGGATTAGCTTTCGCTCCAGTTTATAAGGCCATTACCCTGGATAGAAAATACTTAATCCTATCAGTCACAGTCCCCACCACGAAGGACGGAATTCTATCCAGTATGATATCTAAACAAACCTTAATGAAGTCGTCTATGTCAGCATTCTTCCTGTGAGGCCTTGGTGCAGCCTGGCATGCTGGACTAGCATTCTCATGAGCTAGCTGTTTCACAAAGGTTCAACATCTATATCTCTAACTTTTGTGGATAATACCCCATTTGCCTAGAGAACAATTCTGAAAAAACTCCCTAGGTCTATGCCTGCTCTCTATAACAAATAATATCCCCCTGACAGGCAGGTCTTGTCTATTTGCTTCCAGATTTCTACAGGTAATGTTTCTACAGCAATTTTCCCTATCAGCATCTGGGTGAGAGAAAACCGCTGTTGATCAATAATGAACATAAGCCATCCTTAGTTCCATGAGATGCTTAAATGGTATTGGCATCTGCATCTTGCTTATGTTTCTCTGGGTATCTCTATGCTTCTCTCTAAGAAATGTCTGAAATCACTGGGCATCTCTTTCTACCCACGGCTTGTCTAGTATTAGCTTCCACTGGAGACATTTGACCTGCTGTGGCTGCCC